CAAAATTAGACAGTACTGCGATGACATTACAATTTAAATTCAACGTTTTAGCTTGTTCATATTCCTTTACATGTCACTACGTTTAAATAGGTTGACTTGGGACACTTTTTTTCGTGGTTTTTGTATTAGACCCGTCGTCCATTTATTTGTAAGCCAATGTTTATACATAAATATTTAAAATTTAGCGAGCGCATTACTTTTATGACAGGTTTTACATCACTTTTCACAATGTATTTAAAGTCGCACGTCAATTCGCGCTTTCTAACTGATTAAACGTTGCGCGAAAAAATCTGAAATATTATATCTAATTTCACCACGTTGCAATTTTGATAGTTTGTATTTTGTAAGCCATTAAACTTGAAATCTATTAGTATTAAGAGAATTGCGTCTTATGTTTGTAACGCTTTAGTATTTTGGTTTTAAAATAGTATTACTAAGAAAACTATCATAGACTATAAATCATCTAAAAACTGTCTACAAGACTAAATAAAAACTGTCTACATTCTACAAATGGTCTTATAGCATTCTAGAAGGGTTACTTGGGAAAAAAGAAAAGAATCACTCTTAAGACTACCTACTGATAGTTTCTCGAAGCACTCTTGTGATCTACTAATAAAGTTGTGCCCACTTTTACTTTAAATTATCTAGAAACCTTCTTCGAGATATCTTGAGGGAATTTGAGCTCATAAAATATTCAATCGAATTAAATTCTATTAGATGTCTTATAGTATATATTTAGATATGGGTGTGTTGCTTGGGAGCGGTAATTTGAATGATTAATATATATCAGTACAGCAAACTACGCATGTTCAATTCGATAAAATCTCAAAAATTAATATCGACCTGATATTGTTGAATGATAACACTCAGAGGCGTATTTTCTTCTGGTTATTTTTCTTAAGTGAGTTGTATCCACTGCACAATACATAAATGGCTGGAGAAACAGCTACACGGTAAAAACAGATTACTTAGAAAAAGACAAAATTCTTTTTATGAAGACAAATTTATTAAATCCAACAAAACGATCTTCTCCCTATAGACGCTAGAGAATAATTACTTGATAATAGTAAAAAAACGTCTCAAAAGTGTATTTTCGTTACAAGACAGAAATATTTAATCCAAGAGCAAATTAATTTACTTCAAGTCACAAAGCCACTCTAGATTCAACAAAATATTTATTTGTTATTAGAAATGTCCGATTTTGATTTGAAAAAAAAAAGAATGAAAAATTGAGAGGTACTTAATTATTTGATTGAAGATTTATGTTTTCTAATATCAAAAAGGATAAATTTACAGGGTTATGGACCCAACAGTGCCAAACCTTAAAGTAGCAGAAATAGGATGGAATTATGGAATCTTCTCAAATACTTGAGGACCATCCAGTGCCGTATAAATGCTACAGCGGCAGAAAGCACTAACAATCCCAAATATATGAGATGACTTTATACTATTGAAGTTAACAAAACAATAGCGCGTTTCAGAGTACATCTAATGCCATCTAGCAGTGGCGTGATGGAACTAATTGCATGTTATACTTGTTGCAAGTGTAGTTTGATTTCATGCTGTAACCAAATTTCTTAAATTATGACTATAAAGAACACCCTAACAAACTAGAGATACTACGTATTGTTTCTTTGGATAAATGACTGTTTATGATTTTTATGATTACAAGCACAATTAGTAAAAGTAATCGTTACCGCGTGCGCCTTCGGCGACATGTCACGACAAGATTGACTATGAAAACGCAACGAAATGTTGCTTTAAGAATATACTCTAGAATTTAGAATATTAATCTGAATAGAAAACTACTTCTTTTTTTGTTTAAGAATATATTTTCTTAAAATACACCCAAGAAATTTTGAATTCATTTAAGATTATTTAAATTTGATGTAAGAGGTAAAAATTTCTTGATATAAGTAATGTCCAATTAATTGATTAGAAATGAAATAAAATCTTGAAGTGAACGTATTTGTCTCAAAGTTAGAATAAAGTTAAGAGTAAAATTGTATTAGAAAAAGATAAGCAGTATTTTTGTAGTGACAATATTTTATTACTTTTAATAAATATTTTTTCAGAATTAGCAAATATTTTGAGAAATTGCTCTTTCTTATTAGTAGAAATCCTTTTTTTCTGTGTATGCGTTCTTCACATGACAATATTTTGGAATGGCAGCTTAAACCAGATTCCCGTTCTGGCATAAGCACGCCTGTACAAATCGGCGCGGTGGTAATATCACGGACCGCGGGAAGCCGCCTTTAAAGCTCTCAGCACACAATGCAAGTCCAACCAGCATAGAGTACGTCTATACCACAGACTTACCGAGTCGAAGAGTTATATTAACTGCAACTATATTATGCCAGCATGTCAGACCACACCAAAACTATTTTCACAAAAAGTATCTAATGGTTTCTAATGCAGTTCACTGATCTCCCATGGTTCCGGGTAATTAAACTGTGTCAGTTAATAAAAACACACAATTATATACACACATACTAATTCAACCATGCATTTCAGATTTTCAGCATTAAATGCCGTACGCATAGACAATGTTTGAGTAATAAAAAAACTATAAAAGCTGTGTGTAACTGTTACACACGGCGACTCTTAAAAACGCTAGCATTGCGACATAAGCGATTTATAGGCGGTTGCATCGATGCAAACGCGCGACTGCATCGATGCAGTCCTATAAGTTGAATAATTAAAAACGTGTATCGCGTTTGCTTCGCGAATTTATCGCTGTTTAAGAGTCGATACCACATCAGCTAGAGTAAAAATTTTCCCGTACTAATACGGTTAATTTTGCTTGAGTCGAGCGACAGGTACACTGACTTTATTTCAGTATTTTTTTAGCAAACGATATTAAAAGCATTTGAAAACAGCGGTTTTCTTCTGAAATTTCGAGGTAAGTTTGTGTTTTTTTTCTGACGTGAAAATTTGAATTTGAGGAATCGTGTTTTCACTCAATTTTCCTAATGTATACTTTTTCCAAGGTGATTGATTGAAGCCATTTAAGGTAGTATAGACTCTTAAGTCGCGTGTGTGTAAAGGTACATACTAGCCACTACGTCGTCACTACATCGCGATTGAATCGCGTGTGCAACGCGCTGCTTTAAATCGTCGTGTGAAACCTCGCCCTTATAATTTTTTTTAAATAAGTTTACACCCATTGAAACTGGTGTAATAAACGTCTTTACCGTTATGTCCTTGTTGAAAATCTGAATTTGTATCTTTCAACTCGGACACTGGCAGAACTGTCCACAGCGAGACGGAACCCAAAACCTACAAAAACTTGAATTGAAACCGGGGCTAGCTTTATCTTCGACGATAATGATTTTTTTTGTATTCTAGTTCTTTAAGAATAAAAGTATCTTTTAATGATTTATCACCCAGTTAGTACTTTTACAGCTACCAGTCCTGGCGAGAGATGTCGCTATTCACTGTATTAATTAAATTTTTATTGAATTGATATTCAATTATTTTTTGTGAAATTACTCCACTAGTTTGTTATAATTATTAATACAAAGATCGAACACTCAGAAAAAATTCCTTCGATCCGGTCGGATTCGAACCGACGTCTTCTTGCATACCGTGCCAGACGCTATACCAACTAAGCCACGGAACGAAAGTAAAAAAGAAGAAATAAAAGTATCTTTTAATGATTACTAAATGTAGCAAAAATACGATTAAATAGTTTTGCGTTTATTTGTTGTACTAAGGAACAATGGTGCCATCTAGTAATGAGTAGCTGGTACACAATGGGTAAAATAAAATACAAAACACTCTAACGGCAAGTAGGTTTTAAAAAATACATTGATAGCACTTCGACTTGCCCCAAATGGTTCATTCAGTTTTGATGTTTGACGGATTGTTTCTGTTTAATCATTAATATCTTCAGAACTACTACAAAAGAACAGGAGCAGTGATATAAAAAACACGATCAAATAATTTTATGTTTATTTGCGGTGTTAAGGAACAATGCTGCCATCTAGTAATGAGTAGCTGCTACACAACGGGTAAAATAAAATACAGCCTCTAACGGCATGTAGGTTTGAAAAAATACATTGACAACGAGTTGCCCCAATAAATTAATTCATTTTTGACGTTACCCTTAATGATATCTATCTCCTATTAGGCAAATTTAATATTTTTTTGTCAAGGCGCGCTTCATTTTTTAAACTATTATTGTTGAAATTTAGGGCGCATTATGTAATATAATTATGTAATCTGATTACTGAATGCCTGTTATTGTTATGTAAATTAATGTAAAGAAGAATATTATGTTTTGTGAAAAATAGTGACAGACGTAACGATATTAATACGAGGAATAAAAATAAACTATCAAACATCCGGTTGATACTGAAAATTTGCCATTCACGAGGTTTATAACTAGATTGAAACAACAAACTTTATACTAAAGGTTATTTATTATTCAGCTTCTGTGTACTTGGATGACAAAAATACGTGGTAGTGACCCGTTCTTGCAGGTAGTCTTTATCCTAAGATATTTAAATTAAATGTTGTAATGATAAATGTATTTAAATGTATATTTACAAAGAGCAACCCCTAGAGTTTCTTGCTAATTATTCTCAGGGGAATCTGCCTTACTAATGAGCAGTAGAGTTTAATCAATGTCGATTTCAAGTGTTTCCTTACTTATAAGAAATAAAACATTTATTATGATTTAGTTTGTCGTTTGTCCATGATTGTTATTTTCACCTCACGCTCACGTATGATATCCACAACAACAACATCAACAATCCGTCGTGTTTGGCGTTCGCGTTGTTGGCGTTCTTGATCAATATTAACTGACAACATACATCGTATGACACTGACCCAAGCCTAGTAATAATACAAAGCCAAGAAATAATAAAAATAACGGTTATTTGAGTGCGTTGTTGTATTATTTTTACGCTTAATAAGTACGACTACTTGCCACTAGAGGTCTCTTTTCTTCAATTTCTTTATCCAAAAGGTTCAATAAAAGAAAAATAAGTGTTTATTTATAAACTTTTTTTATCACCTTAAATAAGAATATAAACAATTTAATGTCTAACTTTAAATACAGCCTTTGCGATGGTTCCCGCCTTCAAATCGTTCAAAGCATTCTGGTATTCAGATAGTGCGTAAGTTTTCACTCCAAGGTTTTCATAATTCAAGTATCTGCAAATAAAAGAAACGTGAGAGATCGCAAAGTTCTATTTTAATTCCGATTACCTCAACCAAGTAGACACTCTCGGAGCTGCCATAATTCTCGGAAATTCCCGTAAATTGCGACACTTTAAATTCTAAATATCTACAAACAATGTTACTAAAATCTCTCACTAAAATATTGGTATCCGAAGAAATGCTAAGACAAAGGATTCTGACATCATAAGTTTGGATTTTTAAAAAGAAGGGAATTATAAGTTGAAAGCATTTGTTCTGTCTTTGGCATTTCGTAGTACTAGAGCTCCTTGTGAAAGAGTTCGTCCAGGGAAGTACTGCCACCTTACCAATTTTTTTTTGGGATGGGATTTGTCAACTTTGACAGTGGCAGTGCCCCTCAGATTTTTGCAATTGCAACTGTCATGGACAGGTGTGTCGCTTACCACCAGGCGCACGACTTGTTCGTCTCGTCACTTGATAGTCTTAAAAAAACAAGTTAACAAGTCCTATAGGTGCGCGTATGGATTAACCAGCACCCTTCAAAACCCAAAGCTCATAGATCAAAGTGGCAGAAACAGATTTGGTTAGTGTTGAGTCCTGAAAAACTTCAATTTTAAAAAAATAATATTGTTTGGAAACAGAAATATATTTCCGGATATTTTTCCACATTTGACGTTGACACCTGTCAAAAGTTGAAGTTACTGAACGAAAACGATGGAGCCATTAAAAAAGGTTATTTTTCGCTGTAGTCCAATCATTTTAAATATTATCTTATGTTTAGTCTTCTTTTATTTATTCTCTATAAGTATACAATTATATTTTATAATTCCTGCTAAATAAAAATCAAAAGATATTTCTAAACGAAGAACAAAAAATGAGCCTTCGAATTTTAACTGCCTCCGTGGCCGAACGGTTACCATACCGGACTGCCACGCAGAGATCCCAGGTTCGATTCCCGGGCCGGGAGAAATATTTGTATGGCCTACATTTATTTCTCTCGTGAGTTTGGGTGTAATTTGTGGTTGTCTATGTGTGTGTCCATGGCACCTGCGACATAGGGTTTCCCTAGTGCCCCGGCTATGTTGAGTGTGTGCGTTATTATTATTATTATAATTAAATTTTTCAATTTCTTTTTTTTATTATTATAATATCAAGTGATCGTATCGTGCTCCTGATGGTAAGCTACACGCCTGCCTATAACAGTTGCAGTGTCAGCCAAAGCTTTAACTCGCAAAAATTTTAAGTGGCACTGCCATCGCGCCCGTCACCCTGAGACTTAAGTTGACAAGTCTCATGTGCCTGTAATTTCACAAGCACCAATGTTGACATTACTGCTTGGCGGCAGGAGACACACATTCACCAGGAGGTCTACTGCCACTAAATTATTTATTAGTATATGTTATTGTATATTAATATTCAGGTTAATACAATGCTAACCTGTCGCCCATAGCTTTAAGCCACCCAATGGCCTTAGGGAAGCTGAACGGGTTGATCTTCACGCCTATTACAGTCAGTTCCTTGTTGTAGATGTCGAACGGGTTGACTCTGGAATTGTAGAAATTAATTTCACTTCAAAAAAAGGAGGTTCTCAATTACGTTGTTTTTTTAGTGTATGTTACTTATTCTTTTTTTTGTTGGTACCTTAGTAGTCGTCCCATACTAATTTGAAGGAAATATTCCAGTTCCAAGAGCGTATACACACGTGATTTTAAGCTGCAATGCAAACGCGAATGTAACGTGCGATTGCATCGATGCAATCGCCTATAAATCCCATGTGTATCGATGCAGTCGTGCATTTGCATCGCTGCGTAATTTCGCCGTGTGTAACCACTCTAAAGGTGACAAAGTAGGGGATGATTATGATTCACTTTCCTTTAACCGATTTCAATTTCAACCGGTTTTTATTTTTATAGAAAAAAAAATATATTTATTTAACACAGGTTTTCAAACTTACGAAGCCTGGTGAGTAGGGGGACAGCATCCGAAGAGCACGTATTTGCCACCCTGGCGGAGGTAGTTAAAGTTAATCTCCATCACTTTGCCAACACCTGAAAATGTTACAACATAATATAAATATATATATTCCCCAAAAAAAAACATAAAGTAACAACTAAATAAGCATCTTACAGTTAATATAAATATTATTATAATAATTCAAACATATAGATAAAATTATGTTAATGTATATATTACAAATAAATGGAAATAAAATAAAATTATATTCAATTGATGAAAAAATTGTATTTCACTTTATTTAATAAATAATGGTTTCTAATTTCTAAATAATAATGAAAGATCATGCTTTCTTTAATTTGCAATTGTACAAATATCTTATCTTCGTTAATACCCTTTCACGGTAAGTGCAACTCGTATGTGGAATAAACTGCCTGCTAATATTCGTGACAGTCCATCTTTCAAACACAAATTAAAAGAGCACGTCCTGTCGAACGTATTAGATAGTTAATCGGTAACATATATATAAACTAGTAATTTGTTTAGATTATAATATATATTCTGCTTATGTATACATATACATATTTATGTATATAAAGTTCATGTAGGTGTGTATGTCCATCACATATATATATATGTATATGTTATCATTTAATCACATTTAAATTTTAATTTTATTATACAATAATTAGTCCCGCAGACTCCATTTTTCTCCTAGGCTTGGGATCTCTTCTAGAGAGAAGCTCACCTTTGTATATGTCCTTTATCACTTGTGCTTTATGTATCTTTTCTTTGTGCAATAAAGAGTTATTATAAATATGAACTTATGTAAACATTAGAAAAAGTAACGAAAAATAATATTGTAAAGAGTAAATCCTCCTCTCTCTCTCTCTCTCTCTCTCTATAATATGCAATGCCCTGCAGAGTTTCCATCTACGTAACATTATGGTAAAAGCGATCAAGAATTGAACTGTATTGAATGTTTAATTTTTAGAGAAATAAGCATTTTTACTTGAACATCTTCGTTAAATTTCACGGTCTTCCTTTCATTTAGTATGTTATGTTATTTAGAAGAAAACAATATTTATGATTGAGGCTTTCGATCAGTTTAGTAAAATTACAGATGCTTGTTTTTTCACATTTAGCAGGTTCGATTCCCGGTTCAGGAATTTTTTTAAAGTTAAAATTAAGACTTCTTTCAGTAAAATTTTCTATCAATAGTATTTAAATTATACTTTCCCTCCGTGTGGCACAGCCGTGAGACGACATGTATATTATATGGGTGATATGGGTCACGTTGCCTGATTTAAATGAATAGAAAAAAATATTGACATAAATCCTTTTCTGACCGACTCAAGCCAATTTAGCGTTAATAGAGACACCCTTATCAGCGAATCTAATAATAACCCGCATATTTGTTATGTTGACCATGACACATTTTCGCATGTATGTTTTTGGTGGTATTTATATCTACTGCTAAGGTAATACGGGTGATGGTCTTGTATTTATTTATTTATAGAATATATTTTACCTGTACAGTCGATGATTACGTCATAGAGCAGCTTCTCCTTCGCCAAAACATCAGGCGTCACCAGTCTGAAGCCTGTGTCTGGGAAAATAAATCAAGATAAGTACAGTGAGCGTGTAAGACTTTTAGCGCGTCTGCAGCGATTTAGTCGCGATGCAGTCGCTATTCGCTACCTTTACACACACGCGCGACTTAAGCAGCGATACAATCACGATTCAAATGCGATGCACGTTTTTATTTACATTATTTATTTATTTTTTATATTATTTACTTATTTATTTATTCCACTTTTAAATTTACAATTAACAAAATAAACAATGTGCAAATAACCTATATAGGTTCATGCACATTGTTTATTTTGTTAATTGTAAACTTAAATACATAAAAATAAATAAATAATATAAAAAATAAAAGACTCATATTATATTCTCCGATAAGATGTCTTTTAATATTTTATTTAGCATGAATTATAAATACAAAGATCGAACACTCAGAAAAAATTCCTTCGATCTGGCCAGATTCGAGCCGACGTCTTCTAGCAAACCGTGCCAGACGCTATGCTAACTAAGCCACGGAACGAACCAGCGGGCCTCACGAATTTTCTATGTGCTTGTTGTCGTATCTTTGTATTTGGTTTTTTCAACGACTTTTTAGAATTACAACAAACTAGTGGAGTAATTTTACATAAAAAATAATTGAATGTCAATTCAATAAAAATTTAAATGAATTATAAAAGTAAATTGCATTAACATAGCTAAATGTATTAATTAAATTTTTATTGAATTGATATTCAATTATTTTTTGTGAAATTACTCCACTAGTTTGTTATAATTATGAATACAAAGATGGAACACTCAGAAAAAGCTTAGTTGGTATAGCGTCTGGCACGGTATGCAAGAAGATGTCGGTTCGAATCCGACCGGATCGAAGGAATTTTTTCTGAGTGTTCGATCTTTGTATTAATAATTATAACATAGCTAAATGTAATTTTCTAAACCCTGTTTGGCTTATTTTCACAAATTCTCATAATAGAGCTCAATATCTTCAATTATTGACAGTCAAATGTGGAAAAATATTCAGGAAATGTTTTTGAAAAATTACATTTTTTTCAAAATGGAAATTTTTCCATAACTCAACGTTAAGCCGTTTACCGATCCCATGATCACAGCTGACTGAAAAATGAGTTAGAGCCATAAAAACAGATTATTGTCCAATGTGCGCGTACTCAATTTCTTGACAATCTCCAATCTGCTCTTGTTCATCTCGGAGACAGTGACCTCTCTGTGTCCGTGATGGTGCAGGGTGGTCACCCATAGATTTCCTAGAAAAAAACAGAAACCAATTTCAACAGGCTTTAAAAACACAAGAAACTGAATTTGAAATGAATGAACATAAGATAAATTAATATCTATCGAATTAAATAAAGCTGATTTTTTTTAACGCACACACTCAACGTAGTCCCGCACTAAGGGAACCCTGTGTCGCGGGTACCATGGACACACACATAGACAACCATAAATTACACCCAAACTCACGAGAGAAATAAATGTAGGCCATCAAATCTGTACAAAATTTTATCGAAAAAATTAATAGACTGTCTGGGAAACCCAAGGGCTGACAGCTACCTTATCCAACGTATTAGCATAGCAATACAAAGGGGGAACGCTGCCAGCATCTTGGGCACCTTGTCGCGGGACCCAATTTTATTCATATAATTTAAAAATCCTAGTTTTACTTTCTAGTAGTTAAGCTTTTATTGTCTTTTTTACCTTACTTGGATAATTACTTATATATATAGTTATTAAAAAATATACAACGTAAATGTAGGCCATACAAATATTTCACCCCGCCCGGGAATTGAACCTGGGACCTCGGCGTGGCCGTCCGGCATGGTAACCGTTCGGCCACAGGGACAGTTGTAAATGTTTTTTTTTATGTAAAGAAGGAGGCAAACGAGCCGACGAGCCACTTGATGGGAGGTGGTCATCGTCGCCCATGGACTTTGCAACATCAGATGAGCTGCCTATGTATGAACAGCCTTTGAGAGCCCCGTAAACACGCTTTTTGAAGAACCCCATGTCATAGCGCAAAGGGAACACTTGAGGAGGAAGGTCATTCCACACCTTGCAGGTTCGAGGAAGAAATGAACGAGATGCCCGTGTGGTCTTACAGGCAAGGCATCTAAGATCCCACATCTTAGATGCCTTGCCTTGATGGACTCTACTCCTTTGGCGGGAGGTGCGATGGTAGAAACGAGACGGTGGCACCAGTTCGAAAAGTTCCTCAGAGCACTCCCCATAATATACAACATATAAAGACGGTAGAACACACACAGAGAGCCAACGTCTCTCCGTAAGCTAAGGGGCTCCATACCGTTTGTGAGTTTGGAATCATCGATAATACGAACAGCCCTACGTTTGATAGAGTCAAGTGGACCAAGCTGGTATTTGGGAGCTCCTGCCACGAGATGCGAGCAATACTCCGGGCCAGCAATATGGGGCCGTACTTGTGTTTTATATAACAAAAGTCGGTGACCTGGCGAGAAGTACTGCTTCGCTCTATTGAGCACTCCGAGCTTTTTTGAAGCCAGTTTGGCTTTGTTCTCCAAATGACTCCGGAACTCGACTTCCCTCGTGATGTCGACTCCAAGTATCCCAATGCTCTTTGAGATGGTAAGGGCAGTGTTCTGGAACTTTGGCGCTATTACGAATGGGGATTTTTTAGCGGTAAACGCGCACACTTGTGTCTTTGAGGGGTTAAATTTTACTAGATTCTGTTGGCCCCATTCTGAGACCTGCTCCAAAGAAGTCTCGATTTTGGACACAAGTTGCAGTCTGTTTTGTTCCACTTGTTGGTGGGGCATATTTGTGCGACCTGTACAATTGGCATCACCGGTACTTCATCCGGATAGCAATGAATGTTACTAGTTAATAATATATCATTCACGTGCAGGATGAACAGAGTTGGTGATAGCACAGATCCTTGCGGAACGCCGGCGTTGATGAGCATGGTGTCCGAACACAATCCGTCGACAGCGACTTTTATGCTCCGCTCAGACAGGAAGCTGGCGATCCAAGTGCACAGCCCTTTTGGAAGCCCGTAAGGTGGTAGCTTCGACAGAAGTGCCTTGTGCTAGACCCCATCAAAAGCCTTAGCGATGTCTAAGTTCACGCCCTTGCTCTCGATGGCAGCTGCCCATTGATGCGCGAGATATGCAAGAAGATCACCAGCACCACGACCGCGGCGAAAGCCGTACTGGCGGTCGTTAATACGTTAACGATCCTCGAGGTAATCTAAGAGCTGGTTGTTTACCACACGCTCCATCACCTTGGAGAGCAAGGAAGTAATCGCTATAGGCCGATAGTTGGACGGGTCTGTACTGTCACTTTTCTTGGGTATGGGGTGAACGCAGGCTATCTTCCACGAAGACGGGACTTTACCTGAGTGGTACGAAAACGAGAAGAGGCGCGTTAAGCGTCAACTCGGGAGCGCACGTCCTGACCACAATAGCAGGAACGCCATCGGATCCACTGGACTTCTTGACGTCGAGGGCAAAAAGAGCACACCGTACCGCATTTTGTGTGAATTTCGGGCATTGTGTACTTACACCGCGGAATAGTAGGCGGTGAGTTACCCTCGTCGTCAAGAGTTGAGTTCGACGCAAAAAGAGAGCATAGGAGATCATCTTTCTCTTTAGCGAAATGAGCCAGTGAACCATCAGGCTTGCGTAATGGTGGTAGCGAGACTCGACGGAAGTTTCCCTGAACAGCCTTGCCGAGGGACCAGAAGGCACGGCTACCCGATGGATGGCCAAGTAGTTTTTCGCCAATTTTGCGAGTGTGCGCAAACTTTGCAGCGGCAATTTCCCTTTTGCAGAACCTGGAGGCAGCGTTAAATTTCTGCTTGAATTTGGAAGTTTGTGGGTCCTTGGCGCCTGACGCAACAGTCCAAACTCGGTAGGCCATGCACTTAGCGTTGCAAGCTTCAGCGCAAGACTTACCAAATCAAGGCTGAAAGCGATCACCGACGCGCACTGCAGAGTTTGGAATAAAACATTCCATGCCCAACAGTATCGCCTCGGCAATTGATGCTGCGCAGACGTCAGGATCGTCCGAAGAGAAGTTTAATTGCTTCCATGAGAAGGAGGCGTAGAACTCACGCAATCCGTCTCAATCAGCTGACCCATAATGCCAAACACGACGCCTCCCAGGTGGTCGGGGGCTTCTGGCATGGGTAACACTCACCTCAGAACGGATCAGTAGATGATCAGATGTTCCCAAGCAGGCAAGGTGGGACACCCGAATGCCTTCTGGGTGAGACGTCAGCATTAGGTCCAGCAAACCAGGGGTATGACCTTCAATGTCCGGTACTCTGCTTGGACCATCGACTAATAGTGTGAGGTCATATGCAGCGGCAAAGTCGCGCACAGCTCTCCCTGTATAATCGGTACGTGCTGATCCTAACCACTCCATGTGGTGGGCGTTAAAATCGCCGAGAATCAACGCCTCCACTGAGGGAAGCTGTTGCAGGATTTCGTCGAATCCCTTTTGGACGCACCTTAGGGGTCGGTCAGTTTCCGAGTCTCCGCTATGAGACCTGTACAGGCACGAGTAGATATAGATGTGGCCCCCGTAATCAACACGCGCCCAGAGTAGAGACCGGTCCCTGTCATCGAAACTGCCTAGACGGCGACAGCAGATATCATCCCGAACATACATGCACACCCCAGCCCTAGAAACAAACATGTATTCCAGACTGTATCCGAGGTACATTAGGTACGATACGTCAGATGGGGTATATATCTGCGTCTCCGTCAGGAAAAATAAGGCCGACTTGGACGTCTCGAGATGGTGATGAACGTCATTCAAGTTAGAGTGAAGTCCCCTGATGTTGCAAAAGTCCACATTTAAAGTGGAACAGGGCGCCGCTGTATAAACGTTTTTCCATTTTTTTTAGCAGCCATAAATAAAAACATGTAAAGGGAGGGTGCCGCAATCTCAACAGTTACTTGGGTAAAAAAATAGACCATATTCCACCCTGGAACACCAAGTGTAGCGCATCCCTGGCGTGGGGGACGGAAGGGCCTCCGGTCCAACCTAAGTTTGGCCGACGGGTTCCACTCCGGGGTCCCAGTCCGGCACGAAAACCAACGCTTTTATCACTGGCGGCAGGACAGCCTCCCTGACTGGGACAAGCCCGGGTTCGGGTCCTCTACGTACCAGCGGGCGGCCAGCGGACAGCCGTTTCACCGGGTCTCCCTGGCCCCCACGTCAAAGCGGCACACTCAGCGCAGCAGAGCAGGGGTACAGGACCATGCGAGCCGAGAATTGGTGAGACTGTGGCAATCGGGAGGGAGGAGCTGGTACTCGCACGCACAGTCGGAACACACCCAAAGGTGCTTTGCGACAGATTCCGACGCGAGGGTGGTCGCTAATCAGTCGAGTCCTATGAGGGCTCTGCCACCAAGCTAGGCGATATTTGGATATTACATGAAACCATCGTAAAGCCTCACAACCTGAGATCTTAAGGAATCAGTTGTTCATTTGGCACTACCCAGGAGTCACGTGTAGGGAATCTAGAGTCACAGCCTACGGACGCGAACAACACCGGCTAATAAATCCCAAATGTAAATGCATTCAGAAACCAGGAGTGAGAAAGAAACTAATAACAGCGGAGCTCCTTGTGAAAGAGTTCGTCCAGGGTAGTACTGCCACCTTACCTAGTTCTGCCGCCAAGCATTAACGTCAGCATTACTGTGTTCCGGTTTTGAAGGGTAAGGGTGCTGGTGAAATTACAGGCACATGTACTCAAATTTGTATTGAATTCATATTTAATTATTTTTTGTGAAATTACTCTACTAGTTTGTTATAATTATCGGATAGAAGGATTTTTGTCTAAGTGTTCGATCTTTGTATTAATAATCATAACACGGGACTTGTCAACTAAAGTCTCAGGGTGACGGTGCAGTGGCAGTGCCCCTTGGATCTTTGCGATTTAACGCTCTGAGTGGCACTGTTATGGACAGGCGTGTAACTTACCATCAGGCGCACGACTTGTTAGTCCTGTTACTTGATATTATAAACAAAAAATACAATCTTTACTAATAGTAGAAATATAAAAAAATTCAAACGCGCCTTTAGCATGTTCAAATAATTTGATTTATGTAATTATAAATATGAGTCAGTACAATATTTCTGATAAACAACATAAAACTTTATTATTATACATACATTCGTACCTAATGCACTTTAAGTTTAAATAAAATAATAAATTTTACGTCATTACATATTTAATAACATAAACCACAACTGCTAAAGATAACTTTTATGTAATAAAGTGATAAGAATTTACTGAGACGTCGTAAAATTGTTTCTTTAGCCGCTCAGAGCGACGTAAAGCGATATATACTGCCATTCTCGCGCTGTCGTGCTAGCCCTACTGCAATGGCCTTGCCTTAGCGAAAGTAAAAAAAGGGATCGATCCACATAAATTTCTCAGAAGTAGGAAACGAAACGAAAAGGGAAAGGCTGTAACAAAAATAACACGATGCTCCTGGATTCTATGTTACAAAGGCGCGACGCGATTTTGATGGCATCAGACAAATAATTTTTATAAAAGATCCAATAATATGGAAACAATAAGTTTTCACGTTTGAAGTTAGCCGTTAGTATGACTTGATATGAAATTTAAAACAAGTTCATCAACCCATTACACGTCCCACTACTTGTCCACTATTTTAAACTGCTTTTCCCCTTTTTTGATGTAAATAAGGAGGCAAACGAGCAGACGAGCCACTGATGGGAGGTGGTCATTGCCGCCCATGGACATTTGCAACATCAGATGAGCTAGCTGCCTATGCGTTGCCAGCCTTTGAAAGCCCTGTAAACACGCTTTTTGAAGAGCCCCATGTTACAGCGCAAAGGTAATATACTTCAGGAGGAAGAAGGTTCGAGGAAGGAACGAACGAGATGCTCACATGGTCTTACGATGCCAGGCATCTGAGGTGTGGGGATGGACTCTACTGCTTCGGCTGAAGGTGCGATGGCGTAAACGAGACGGTGGCACCAGTTCGAAAAGCTCTTCAGAACACTCCCCATTATAAGGACGGTAGAACACACACAGAGAGCCAACGTCTCTTCGTAGGCTAAGGGGTTCCATACTGTCTGTGAGTTAAAGATTTTCAACAATACGAACAGCCCTATAATGGATTGAGTCAAGTGGGTCAAGCTGGTATTTGGGAGCTCCTGCCCAGAGAGGCAAGCGATACTCCATATGGGGCCGTACTTGTGTTTTATATAACAAAAGTCGGTGACCTGGTGAGAAATACTGCTTCTCTCTATATTTGGCGTGTGTTCGCTCTATTTTTTGAGAAGCTAGTTTGGCTTTGCTTTCTTTATTTTACTTACCAATAATACCAGCTCCAACGATAAGAATCTTCTGTCCAACAGGCAGAGGTGAAGCGCGATCGAAACCGTGGGATACGCAAGAGTACGGCTCGCACAGACCCCCTGAAAAGAGGCATTCGTTATCATCGTCAATAACCTTCTCTATGGGATTTTAGTGGGGTTTAATAGAGCTCCTTGTGAAAGAGTTCGTCCAGGGCCACCTTACCTATTTCTGCCGCCAAGCAGTAATATGAGCATTACTGCGTTCCGGTTTGGAACGGTAAGGGTGCTGGTGAAATTACAGGCACATGGGATTTGTCAACTTATGTCTCAGGGTGACGGGCTCAGCGGCAGTGCCCCTAAGATCTTTGCGATTTAAAGCTCTGAGTGGCACTGTAACTGTGATGGATAGGCGAAGGTGTAGTTTACCACCAGGCGCACGACTTGTTCGTCCTTCACAAAAAAAAAATGGGATACCATGCTTTATTTCTGGTAGTATTTTAAAAGCTATGGGCAGTCTCATACAAATTTACGACAATGTTCAAACGGTAGCCAAAATAAAACGTGTCACTAAAGAATGTAGGAATAATCAACACCTTGTTCAGTGGTAATTCCTTCAGGTAAAGCAAAGACCTGACTTTGAGGTACTCGGCAGTACTGAGACCAACCACCGTCGCGCCAAATGCCCACGGTGCTGTTGATGCCTGCTGTCAGGCAAAAATGGTAGTTGCCTTCACGGCAGAAGTCACAGAGGTTGCAGGCACTGTAAAAGAGAAGATAGATTCTTTTAAATTGTTGACAATTTGTTGAAATTGTGGTATTTGTATTTTCTCATAACATCCAAATTTACTTTAATCAATAGAAGAAAGGAGGAAATGTGGAAATCCGTAGAAGTCGGAAGTCACCGACATAGTTCAAAGGATTAGCAATTTGAAGTGGCAGTGGGCAGGGCAAATAGCTCGTAGAACTGACACCGTTAGAGCACAAAGGTTCTCGAATGGAGACCACGAACCGAGAGGCGTTCAGTGGGACGACCCCCTACAAGATGGACGGATGATCTGGTAAGGGCGGCGGCTAACCGATGGAAGCACGTCGCTTCCGACCGGCTAGTTTCTTTGGGGGAGGCCTAAGTTCAGAAGTGATGTAATGATGATGATGAATAGGAAGTATACTCACATACTACTGCACAACGGCGAGGATTAAAATGTGACTTCATAACAATGCCATCCCACCAGGTTATTGCAAACTAGCCATAGGCAAACGGTTCATCTGATGGAGTGTCTAAGGGAGTCACTACATTCATAAACGAGGTATCGACTTGAAAAGATCAGAACAAGCTTTATGCAACAAGAACAAGAATGACCTTGAGCGTTTCGCTTCCGCTTAGGACTTGCCAGTCGTGATTATACCAGATTTTAGTTCTAGTTGCGTTAGTTTTAGTTGCGTTGGCTCGCCTCAATCCGGCGCACAACAGCGAAGCTTTGTGGCAGAAATGTGTACCGCGGTGGTACCCTACCAAAGCGCAGGTTCTGCATATCCTGAAACCCTAAGCAATTCTTCGAGTCATGTCGATTACCTTAGTTCTCCTACGGATTTCCTCATTTCTGATTCTATCACGTAGGAAAATACCGAGCATTGCTCTCTCCGTTGCCCGCTTAGTGACCTTGAGCCTTCTTATGAGGCCCATACATAAAAAAAATACGGCCTTTGAAAAAAACATCGTTTAGCTGAAAAAAGAAAGAGCCGTCCCAATCACTAACTTCAGCATGTTCATATCATTATTTTTTCTCAAACATGCTGGAAAATGTTTGCATTACTTTCAAAAAACGAACATGGAAAATATGTCATTTATTGACCGTGCGACTTCTTCCCGGCCAAGACTCGCAAAGTAAGTATGAAAATGCATTACTATCCTCTTCTCTAAAGATTTAAATCTACCTACTAATATGAACTATGTAAACTCATACAGCCAACTGCCCAGTGTTCATAATTGCGAGAATTAACAATACTTACCTATACCGCTTACTTAAAAAAAAGGAAATGGCGGTAACATTTAAACCAAAGTGCTTTGGTATTATTTTGTTTTTTCGTCTTTTTTTTGTATGTTGGTCGCGAAAATGAGAGCTAGTGAGAAGAGCGATAACGAAAATATAATAGGGGAGAGTCGGTTATATTGTACCAGTTTTGCCTTAGACTCAGATATTTCGTTTGTAAAGCGACTTACACAGATGAACGAGTACATACAATAAAGTTCAATATCTTGGCCACCATGGACAGAGAAACCAGTGTCTTACTTTTATTATAACATCGCAAAATATATATGTTTTTACTGAAGTTTGCCATCGGAACGATTTACTAGTTGTTTAAATCGTACCACTAGAAAAAATAAACAAACTTTTTAGCAAATATTTATTTTTGGCGTCGTAAGTTAGATTATAAAAGATCAAATAAAACTATGCCACTTAAATTTCATAAAAAAAAAGACTAATAGGTATTAGTGGAAACAGCTAACACAAATGTCTGGATTAGAAGTGCATGTCTCATGTAGCCACCTTTGACAACGAACACATTGAGTCCAGTCGATTTTTGGACCCTTTTTATTACTAACAACGATTGCATTTTGCACATATATTCTCAAATCACCATTTTCTTCTTATTTTCTTTGTTTTCTCGTTGGTCCCTCGTGGGTCTAACAATTTTTTCTTTTTTTTAGTTTTCTTCTACTTTCTTGCCTTTTCTTCTAGTTGATTTTTGTAAAGACTGGATGTATAAATACATCCAGTTTTCTACAGCTCTCTGTATAGTGTTTTATTGATAAGTCCGTTAAATCGTACCCAATATACTCGATGATTGTACCGGTACAATTTAAAAAACTACTACTTAAATTTAACGAACTAGATCATTTTTGAAAAAGGAAATAAGAAACGTCATTATTTTTGCTTACCTTTCGTTACGCGTTACGTCCTTACAAAATAATATGAAAATTTATATCGACACTACTTTAATATATTTTTTTCGCTTGTACACACAATTTTTGATAGATGCGGACTCGAAATGGGGGAATTACAGGGAGCATGCTTTGTTGCTACCAGTGTAAAAGAAACTAGCCATTTAGTAGGAAATCTAGAAGTGGTACGATTTAAAGCGCGGTGCTATATTGACGACTCTCCCCTGGTAGATACACATTCAAATACATCATCAGAAGTTCAACAGACTACTATTAATGGGCCAGGAAAAACAATAACATCTAGATTCGATCTCATACTGTACGGGTTTAGAGGAGCTTTTTCCCACGTACAATTGGGTTGTGGAATAAACTCCCCCCGCAGGAATACAGCATGGAGTCCTTCAAAAGGAGTTTGAGAAGGGTCCTAAAGGGTCGGCAACGCGCTCGTGACGTGGTGTTGCAGGCGTTTATAGGCAACGGTAACCGCTTTCCATCAGGCGGGCAGTATGCTTGTTTGCTGCCTACATAATATAAAAAACAACATTTTCTTTTAGCAATTGTCCTAACATGTAATATTAATAAATATTTTTTTACTTTTTCTATTACACATCTTCCTCTCTTTAGTCTTTTATAATTTCCTCATATTGTTTGAGAAAAATTCTATACAAGCCTCGGCGGGAACGGGGATTGCTTGATTGGTATTAATACAAGACCTCGCTGGCGCTCGTCCTTGTAATTCATACTCGTCCAGCAATCCCTTACTTCCCGATTTCTGCAGTAATATGTTATTGTAAATATGAATCACGTGCCGTAAATAACATTTCTGATAAGCAATATAGATCTTTATTGGATACATGCATCATTCGTTATCATTAGCAATAACCTTCTCTATTCCCCGAAGTTCGGTCACACATGCACTAGAAAGTTATCTTTGTAAAGACAGTGGCGTGAAATTTTTTAATATCCTTACAAGTTGATAGTTCTATAAAGTACTTTTCTTTGCCAAGCAAGTGATTGCTTGACATTGGTGTGAACCAAATTATATGCTCTCGATAAGTACCAATTCCGGTACCATGTTATGGACTATTCGGTCCGTGGATAATGTTTTTTCAAAAGTGATTCTTTCAGGAGTACCCAGAGTGCTAACCTTTTTAACCGATTTCAAAAAAGGAGGTACTCAATTCGATTGTTTTTTTTTTACGCTATAACTCGGCATTTGTGAATCGATTTTGATGATTCTTTTTTTGTTGGAAAGAGGGTACCTCGATATTGGTCCTATTTAAATTTAAAAAAAATGTTCCACCACTAAGGGTGTCAAACTAGGGGATGATTCAGATTTGTACTGAGATTATTGATTTTAAATTTGAAGTAGATATTGTCTTTGTTAAAATATAACTACAATATTTATATTTTATAATTGTGTATACTTTCCGCGGGCAGGAAATGTTTTAACTGAGGAGGCATTGTAGTGTAGTTGTGTGTGTATAGTCCTCTGTGCGTAATACTAATATCTATACAATGATTAATGATTTTGTGCTAAGTATTTAATAATCTACTGGTGATTTCAGAACTGTAATAATATATTGTGTGATAGTTATTCTCTTTTTAAACATGGCAGGCTGTAGCGGAATACCAGCGGCGCTGACAAACACTACCGTCGTGCTGAACTACAGACCGTTTTATCTCTCACCACTATTGTCTGCTACTTAACCAAAGTTAAGTGCAAAGTAGCTTATTTATTTATTGACGTGTTTAGATAAATAAATTATTTTTATTTATTTTAGGAATTCTTACCAGTTAGGATCAACGACGACAAGCTGCCCTTTTTTGAAGATGGACTTGGAGCCAACGTCGTACACAACTCCGCTGAACTCGTGGCCCAAGGGAAGAGGACGTTCTTTACTCGCTGGAAACTCGCCCTGTTAAAAAAAGGATTATGATGAATGATAATATTTAAGGAATGACAATGACCAGAAACGTTTTTGTTTGGTAAGTGGTATTCAAATTGGAAAAATAACTTATGCCGTCTTCGCCTTTCCATCATTAACTATATATAATAACTGCCTCTGTGGCCGAACGGTTACCATGCCGGACTGCCACGCAGAGGCCCCAGGTTCGATTCCCGGGCCGGGAAAAATATTTGTATGGCCTACATTTATTTCTCTCGTGAGTTTGGGTGTAATTTGTGGTTGTCTATGTGTGTGTCCATGGCACCCGCAACACAGGGTTTCCCTATTGCGAGGCTATGTTGAGTGTGTGCGTTATTATTTTTATTATTATGTTATTATCATTAGGGGACTAGACGTAGACTGGGGTTCTGCCCATGTTGTGGATATTTCAAGGATTCTCTTGTTCCCTGAACGGTATAACTTGGGCCCTTTCAAGGCGAGAGTAAATGGAATATGTAGGTGTGAATTTTCCTTTGAAAAAGTTTCAACACGACGTTTTCCTTCTCCGAAAAGCTCATGGTACATTTCAAATTAAAAGATACTTAGAGATACGAGATCGGATTCGGAACCACGGCCTCTGCTTGAGAAGCGATTAGTTGAACGGCTTTTTGATTTCTGAACTTAACTAAAGAAGAATCAAGATTACCGTTCTTGCGTGGCGTGATCGGATTACAAATGCAAAAGTACCTACTCAATAAACTGAAGACAAAATTCGTTTTGTCTACCAGGATCCCCTAGCCCAATCCCCCAGGGGCTCTTTGTGAACAGAATCCCCCGAGCGCGGATATATAACGTTAAGCTCATTCATACTATGGTACCTTAAAACAACATATGCTTACAAAAAAAAAACAATATACATACTCTTATGTATATTTCTTAATGTGAAACAATAAAGGCGAAAAACGGGTAAAAAAAAAAGCCGCAAAACAAATGAAATTGCAGCGAACTGTGGCTAGTTGTAATACTAAGCTGCGTTAAATTTATACTATCATTTACCCAACTATATCTATTAATTGTCCTACAGTTATATCATTATTCAATCATTCCAGCAGACTTCTTGGATGTATTTTTGATTTGCAATTTCATTTTTGCGGAAAGGCCCATAAGGTCCATAGACAGCCATTAATTTCTACATTAATGCCATTGTATTTCTAGCCAGTCGCTACCTAACTAAAAATGGTTATCTATGAACCCCAAGAGGAAGGTTTACCTGAATAATATGCAAGTCCGTGCCACATACACCAGAGTATTCAACTTTCACGATGACGTCGTCTTCGTTGATAATCTTCGGCATGGGATATTTGTTGTCATACTTCAGAGAAAGGGATTTGCCGTCGAAAACTACTGCTTCCATTTTTGACGATTACTAAAAGAAATAAATGACATTTCTATAAATACTTTGAAAACTATGCTAACATAATTATTAATACAAACATTGACTTAAGTACAATTAAATGGACGACGGGTCTAATACAAAAACCACGAAAAAAATGTCCCAAGTCAACCTATTTAAACGTAGTGACATGTAAAGGAATATGAAAAAGCTAAAACGTTGAATTGAAATTGTAATGTCATCGCAGTACTGTCTAATTTTGCTTGCTTCGCTGTCAGTCGAACAAACGAAGACTAAAGCGTGAATGACGCTCTGTATACGATTTTAACGCCCTATAAGTTCGGACACTTTTTAGCGCGGACCCGACGTCCATATAATTGTAAGTCAATGAATACAAAGTAATGGTATCCTCCAAAAAGTTTTAATCCACAGTTTACCAAATTTTGTGGGAGATTATGGCGCCGGGCAAACGTGTGTCTTGTGTAGGATACAAACAACTAGAAGAGAATAAATAATCTATTTTGCGGCGACAGTGTCCGACTGCCGCAACCAGCGACTGTGTCGATTTCATATCACTTTTATGAAAATAGAATGTTCACTTTTGGTTTTATAATTTTATTAATTTTTGCATTTGACTTCCATCTCTGTTGGAAAGTGTTCCATCTCACTTGATGGAACCAAACCAATAAGCTGAGAAAAATAAAGAAGAACAAAATAGTAACAATGCACGCACTAATAGAGTCGTAGGTATTCCAGAACTCTACTCAATGCTCAAGTCAGGACTTGAGTATGATTTAAAGCACTAAAAATCATACTCAAGTCCTTGTCATTAGGGTTGTATTTCCAGTGCTCGAAATCATACTCAAGTCCTGACTTGAGCATTAAGTAGAGTTCTGGAATACGACCCTCAGTCCCGAAGGAAACCCTGCGAGCGCCATGAACACACACATATTACACCCAAACTCACGAGATAAATAAATATAGGTCATACAAATATTTCTCGGGAATCGAACCCGGGACCTCTGCGTGGTAGTCCAGGATGGTATCCGTTCGGCCACGGCGGCAGTTCATAAATAAACGACTTTTTACAAAACATAATAAATTTACTAAAAATCAATATGAAATACCATCTGACACTTCCTACATCTGTTTTTGGTAGTAAGCAAGCGTTTTTTCCGACAACTTTCATTTCCGCTTCTACGTTTTGCACATAGTTTAGAGCGATCTATTTAAATATTTTTATTTTTGAAGAAAATCGAAAAGTAAAATGCAAATAATTATTAAAAGTCGTGGAACAAAGTCAAAGTACGATATAAACAATTAAATTATTATATTTATTAATGAATTTGACATTCACATATACATTAATTTACATTTATTAGTTATTACGAAACCATATTGATATTTCCTGTATACACTTGACATTGTTATTTATGATATTAGTGGAAGTGAACAACAATGTTTATTATCTATCAATAACACATATCTAAACTACTTATAACAGCTAGACACATAAAAAAATAAGAAAGCTTACAAATAGAAAATTTCGTTGAGGGCTGTACCTTGTAGCGGTTACTTTGCGACTTCTACCGGCTAAAACCCCACAGTGGCCTTCTCGGGTGCTCTAGTGGGAAGGATCCGGGATCGACTTTGCACACCGGAACCCCCCCCCCCCAGCACCTAGGAAGAGTTACGTCCTCCCCTCCTCTCCTCATGACGAAGCGAACACACCGCCCCGTCGTCCTCCTTGCGGCTTATCTTACTGGCGAACGAAGCCACCGCTTCGATCGCCCGCAGCCGTGAAGGTACGCCGCCGCAGAGCGGGAACGGCGAGGGCCGTACCCTAGGGCATCGTGCCTCAGTGGGCGCCACATCGGCGTTGGGTCTGAAGGCTATATAGAAGGCGAAGGCAGTTCGCTGCTCGCCTGATCAGGGACTCTGGACAGGGACTCCGGAGCCTGCATTGCACGGCCTCACTCGTCTGGGGGGCGGCTCGGAGGACAATTGACCTGCCCTTCCGTTGGCGCGGGAGCCCTGGCCCAATGTAGGGCGGCCGGGCGGCGTCGTGGTGAATGTGCACCGACCCCACGGCGCCGACTCAACCGGCGGGAGGTAAACCCGGGGGGGGTTTTAGTGGGTCCAGTCTGGAGGGAGAGTCCCCATATAACCCCTGAGTCTCCCTGGGCTCAGGGGTATCTATAAAGATTTCCACCCCGTAAAAAAAATGCCTTCGTGCCCAGAAGGCTAGTAACATTTCCCCTTTGAATTGCTGAATTTATTCTTTGGCAGAAATAGCCAGGCTTGTGGTCACCGAAGTTTCGCCTGTGGCCCCCAGGGACCCAGGCTTTCAACCGCAAAAGGCACAAAGCTGTAGCACTGGGCAAGGTTGGCGTATTTGAGTCCTGAGAGGTTGTTAGTATTTTACAAAAAACCCTGTATAACGTTGAATAACATTGTTTTAAATATTATTACAACCCACTAACCTGTAATTCGTGCACTAGTAGACAATGTCACGGACAAACTGAAGAGAATGTTATTTAACACGAGGATACTTATAATGATAAAGTAATCACTGTTCAGTAGAGTGCCCATGAATTTCAATTCTGCAATATTAAATGGGTGTAACTGAGTGCACAAAAAGCTGGCAGTGAGGCAATGTAGATGTCACTTTTGAGTCTCCGGTTCGGTTCTTTAATTTAGTTTCATGTTTTTTTTTTAAATAACTAAGTGATAGGACGAACAAGTCGTGCGCCTGATGGTAAGCGACACGCCTGAAGAGGTGTAAACCGCTGATGTGCCGTAACCAAGTTCACAGATAAAATAGAATACTTCCATCCAATTAATTTATTTCATAATTGAAGCCAAAAGAAAGGCTTTAACAAGAAAAAGGTATAAAAAACAGGTACAACGCTACAAAACACTCCCTACTTACAAAAAAGTTAAAAACGGGAGACAGACTTACCCCGAAAGGGCTATATAATAATAACGCCACACACTCGACATAGCCTAGGGAAACCCTGTGTCGCGGGTGCCATGGACACACACCACAAATTACACCCAAACTCACGAGAGAAATAAATGTAGGCCATACAAATATTTCTCCCGGCCCGGGAATCGAACCCGGGGACCTCTGCGTGGCAGTCCGGTATGGTAACCGTTCGGCCACGGAGGCAGTTAAGGCTATACAATAAGCGAAAGAGTTATACAATATGACTAAGTTAGATTGGTATTAAAATTGGCACATGATTGAGGTCGGGTAATAAAAAAGGAAAAAGGATCAAGATTAGACGAGTACACTGCTCGCTTCTGCGATTCAGCAGAGAGTCACGACGGGACGAAACACAATGAGAATGACGAGGCAAAGGAGTTAAAGAACGATTCAAAATTTGAAAACAAGTGACCAGGAACCAGAGAAAAGGTGATAGAAAGGTGGGATGACGATGGAAGGAGGTCGCACCGTCACACGCCTGTTCATAGGAGTTGCAGTACCACTCAGAGCTTTAAATCACAAAGATCTGAAGGACACTGCCACTGCGCCCGACACCCTGAGACATAAGTGACGAGTCCGGAACGCAGTAGCGCTCACACTACAGCTTGACGGCAGAAATATGTAAGATGGCTGTAGTTTCCTTCATGAACTCGTTAATAAGGAGCTCTACTGCTATTAAATGTGTTAACGAAAGCTATATTCATCAAGTATTTAGTGTATAATCTCAGTACGGAGTACTAAAAAAACCGACCTCAAAAGTACGTGGAATTACGTCTATTTGCTAAGTTTTATTGGAGTATCTTTAAATTCGCCACTATACAGGACTTGATACTGGAGATAATAAAAATCCGTTCTCACTACTCAAAGAATATTGAGAGATAAACGCCTTGAATTGGAGAAATAGCAAAATCAACCACTAAAATAATTGCTCGTTAAGAAAATTTAGGCGCTATTTATAAAAAATGAATCTTCATGCGTGAATAGCCACCCTTAGAGGTGGATCATTTCCAACAAAAAAAGAATCATGAAAATCGGTTCACAAATACCAGAGTTATCGCATAACATACATACAAAAAAACAGTCGAATTGAGAACCTCCTTCTTTTTTGAAGTCGGTTAAAAATGTTTATTTAAGTTACCGATTTCATTGCTCTATAAGCATATTAGTAACTTACCGATTTGATTTGGGTATAATCAAATAAGGACAAAATGACAACACTAAAAGATATTGGTGGGATTAAAAAAAAAGAAAAAGATGACAGATTAGCTCTTTAATCATATAAGGAGAGAACGGGGGATATTATTTGATTATAAGACTGCAGTACTAATTAATATGTTTTAGTTTATTCTAATTTCTATTATTAATTAATAATAAATTGAACGTAATAAAAATTCATTCAATAAAATAATTTGTAAAACTTAATGTAGCGTAAATTGGAATGTTTTCTTTGTAAAATAAAAAATAAGGTATTTGATTAATAACTATTGTAACTATAGTGAAAAAATAGGGTGGTTTGCATTAATATTAGACATAACTGGTTGAAGACTGTACCACCTCAGTCAACCGTGACCATAGGACCTGTAAAGGGCCCGAAACGTCGGTTTGTTTGAAAAAACAAATACACGTGATTTAAATCCGGAAAAATAGTTTCATTTGCTATGAATGATACTTTGTTACACCTAGTATAAAAAGGCATGTCTCTGATTACGGCCCCTTGGTGTAACAAGGACACAAGTGATCATACGCCAAAAGTGTCTTTATAACATTAAAGTCATAAAAATAATACGATTTACATCAAAGAAGTTAACGAAGGTCATTTCGTCGCCTCACTTTCTCAAACTCCTATCTTAAAGCACAAAGTATATACTTAAATGCATTGTAAATACGAATTTGCAGGCTCATTTCACATCACATTTCCTTCATATTATTCACACCTTAGAATAATAACGCATAGAAACCTAGTCCGCACACGCTAAGTGAGGCAAATTGAAGCGCGCCAAAAGGGCCTACACGAGCGGGCGGGCCTTCAGTGCTCAAGGTCAACTTGCACCGCGAACAGCTCAAGAATTTTAGCTAAAAATGACGAAATGTACGGTAAATGAGTGTAAAAATACGTCAGACAAACATAAAATAGATACTAACATCACATTCCACAAGGAGTAACGCGTTTCAACTTGTATTTTTATATAAATATTCACTAAAACCGAAAATTAACCTACAACTAAAACTAGCCTACATGAATTTGATTTTTGCCTCACTTGAGACAGTTCGTTTGATATGAAACTATCATTTTCTATGCGTTATTATTCTAAGATTCACACACTGACTTTTGCCTATTCTTAAAATAATGCACCCAAATTAACACCCTTGATAAGAAATTTAAAATAAATAGAAAGTTTGCCATCTCCTGATAGAATACACTTTATAGAATACGAGTTTGAGAAAGTGAAGCATCGATTTGGTCATATCGAAAGCTCAGCCGGTTAGAGCTATACTACGGTGCAGTATGGTCGTGGGGTTAAGTCCCATCGGGTCGTAAAAGATTTTCTACGTCTTCGATCTTTGTATTAACAATCATATCGTTATCGATTCGTTTCGTTGGTAGAATGTTACCTTAGAAACCTCTGTAATGAAAACTTATCATTTTTGCAGATGTGGCCATATTTTTTAAAGCCTACATCCAATTTCTACTCGAGTAGCCTATGGGTGAGGTAGGTATACGTAACGTGCCTATAGCGCCCTGCGCGTTCAATATAACAACGCATTTAGAGTGCTGATGGGATTATCAAACTGCAGTACCTCGGCCATGTTTGCGGAAGCTCACACGGACAGCTTCCACGTCGTAATACGGAAGAAGATTGTCTCGCCGGTGAGTCGCGTGAGGCAAGTCCCAACAGCATTCTAAGCGCAATATCGGGAAGTTTTAACTGTCCAATAGTCAAATTCTGGATAGAGTAAATTAAGGGCGTAGCCCAATTTATAGTGTAGGAATAAATTAAGTCAGCACTGTATTATACCAAGCTTGTTTTTAAATTCTCGTACTAAAATACTATGGGTATTTTTGATGGGTGGGATATTACATCATGGGTGCGAATTTAGGGCTAAGAGTGGTTACACACGGGGACTTTAAGCGGCGATGCAAACGCACGATTGCATCGATGGAAACGCGCGATTCACTTATAAATCACTAGAGTAGCGATGCAAATGCATGTTTTCATCGCTGCTTAATGTCGCGCGTGTGTAACCGCTCTAAGATCAACTGAGATTATGTTCGTTGATATATCGTTTATTAGACTTTTAAAAAAACTCATGGTCACTGTAAATGTATATATATGTCAGCGATAAACCCCCTCCAAGTTTTGTTATTTTCGCTTATCGGACTATATGATTGAAATTTGGTTGTATCCCGATTGGTTCGGTAAAAGTTTCAATACGTCAGAACACGTAGGTTGGGATGGTCGACAGTGAACCAGGTGTACAGTATGAACCGCGCCAATAACCCAGAAACGCGATATTGGTTTTTACATTTCAGTTGGTTGCCCAAAACTTAATATAACCAAAAACGGCATTGTATTTCACAACTTTTATAAAGTACAATATTTTGCTGATGATTGTAATAGTCTGCACCTTTGGTTCATTGTGTACCAGCCCCCGGTTCAATGAGTACCATGGGGTTTGCACAGTGAACCATTTCAGTCCATAGATCCAGAGCTGTAGCTCTTGAAAATTTTGATGGTCTTTGTCGACCTACGCATTCTTCTCCCTACATGACGTCTGGTCTGGGCCGTGAAAACTGCTCATTCTAGGAAGTCGTCATTCTTGACATACAATCGCATTACGTTGGTCAGAAAAACCTGTAACGTTAATGTAATAATAGCAAAAATTGATTATATAAAATATAAGATACAATGAAAATATTAAAGCATTACACATATCGCACTTACACGCTACCATGCATGCTAATATAAAGGGTGTCCTAAAATAATAAATAAAATTAAAAAAACAGAGGTTTATAATTAAAAATGGTTATTTTTTTATCCATGAAGTACACGGTATAGGGTTATTTGTGTGATAAAGCATGTCGAGTAAATCGCTTCCACGGCTTGCTGGCACATTAGCACTCTTTTCAAGAAATTTTCGATGACTGAATCACGTTGATATAGACCTCAATTCCTCTTTCAAGACGGTGGGTCAAAAAAAGTCATGATCTGGGCGGCCAATTCTGATTGTTAAAATGGTAAACTTCACGACCAGGAAATGACTCGTGAAGTAATTGCATTGTTTCTCGTGCTGTATAGCACGTGCCACGGTCTTGTTGAAACTTTATGTCATCCACATTTAACAAGCCAATCACCCACGCCTTGACGGTGGAAATTGAGAACTGTATTAACTAGGTTCAATCACAGTATGCAAAATGGTCATCGAAAATTTCATGAAAAAAGTGCAAATGTAACCCTATACCCTTAGAATAATAACGCATAGAAACCTAGTCCGCACACGCTAAGTGAGGCAAATTGAAGCGCGCCAGAAGGGCCTACACGAGCAGGCGGACCGTCAGTGCTCAAGGT